TATATTATATTCTTCGTTAGTTAAATGTCTCGTTCACAGATATAAATAAAATAACCTGAGCACATCGATTTTTTTCGTTCAGAGCAAAGAAATAAAAGAGAGAGAGAGAGAGAGAGAGAGAGAGAGAGAGAGAGAGAGAGAGAGAGGAGTACATACACGGAAGGTTGTGACCAACGTGAGAATTGAAATCAATAGTATTTATCATGGTGGAGGTGTATCTGACGTATTTTTTTTACGATGTATGGTATCGTCCTTCCTTTATATCTTTTTTTTCTTTTTTTTATCGGAATTCACTCAGCAGATATATCACGTTTGCAAAAACGATAAAGATTTTTTTCTTGTTTCCTTGTTGTTTTTTTTTTCTGTTTCTTTTTCTTTTTTAAATGACATCACGCACCTGACACGAGCGCATACATTTTTCTTTTATCAGTAATACATTTTTTCTTTTTCTTTAATTTAAATACTTCGAACAGAAAAAAATATTTGAAATAATACAGTATATAACTATGTAATATAATTGATATTAAATTCGTTGCATATTTCGAAATTAGTTATTTTTCTTGTTGTTTTTTTTTTTTTCGTCGTCAAGGAATTCGGCACTTATCCAAAAGATGGGACCAAAGTCATTGAAAATAATGGGACGACTGTTTCGAAGAAATAACAGATGTATGATTGCATTATAAATAAATATATTATATTTGTTTAAAAATTATCCGAGGATTAATATTGTTACACAATTAAAATTATATACATATATATATATATATAATATTTAAACTCAAAATTGTTAATACAATAAGATTTATATCTTAAAGATATGATATAATTTTATCAATTTTTTATTTATTTTGTCACATGTTAGATAATATTTGATGCACACCTAATAATATCATTCGTCATATTAATAATACGGATTGTTTCTCACCCCACCACCTACCCCACCCACAGATTATAATTCATTCCGTAAATAAATTTATTCTTTCCAACGTCCTTTTCTATTGTTATTCCCGACACGTTTGTGTGTGTGTGTGTGTGTTTTTTTTTTAAAGTATTTGGCTTTTCGTCACGAGGTTCATGATAGAAGAATAAAGTTATACAGGGCGGGGGGAGGGGGCGGGGGAAGAGGATTTAACCAGCTGTAAACGGTTGGTACGATCACGAATGCGATTATGTAAGGACGGTATTAGAATAACGTTTTAACTTGACGTTTATTATACTAGCAAGCATTTTATCAAACACGTTCTCTTATACTGATGCCAATCTGTCCAATCGGTACGTGAGTCGTCTAGTCATTTCAACTTATGAACTATGATCAAATGCTTGCAACATTGCACACACACACACACAGACGTATATATATATAGAAGATATTTTTGTGAGATAAATTTTGAAAGTGTCGAGATGTAATATCAGTTTTAATTAGATCCTCGTGAAATAAGGATTAAAAGTATATAGAAATGTAAATAATATATAAAAAGGATGAACTATTGTTAATAATTATTTTGTTGTCTTCTTTTGTTTTTTTTTCTTTTTTGGTTTCCAAGTAAATATGACAAACATCGAATACAAACTTGACGTAATTTAAATAATCCTGTATTACGTGTTCACATGTAAATCATTTCGCAGTAAAACAATCATTGAATATTTTGATTTAATTGATAGTTACGTTTGCATGTAACGTTGATTATTATGATATGTTATTTATTTTTTTCTTTATTTTACAATATTAAAAAATCCATCCCTTTTTATTTTATTTTATTTTGATATTACTTAATAATAATAATTTACATGATTGTACTATGACACTTTTATGTAACGTTGGAAGATCTTTCTTCCTTTCTTTTTCTTTTTCTCTTGAGAGAGTTGTTTTTTTTATTCGTTGAGAAACTTTCACGTTTCGTTTTCATCGAAACACATATAACAGTCGGTCATGAAAATATTCTAACACACATTAGTATAAAATCTGTTATATTATACGTTTGGTATTTTTTAATTATATACAACTTATAAACGATTAAGGAAATATATTGATTTATCGTATATGATAATTGTTTCAATATATAATGGAAAAATAATCGTAGACATTTCCTTTCACTAAAATTATGCGAATAATGTTGAATACTGTTTGTGATCATTATAACAGTGGTTTCATTCTTAGAAAATGAATAATACGTTGTAGTATGTTGTGTAGTAATAATACATATACTCGTACAATGGGTTGATTATTCTTCAATTGCGTTTCAATTGCGCAAATTAATTGAAAAGTAATGACACGGTCGTCCAACGTACGACAATTAATTTATTTTCCATCGGGGGATAAAAAATAAAAAAAGAAAAAGGTATAATCGTATATC